TGGGTTCTAAAGGACAGAAAAAGTGAAATAAAACCAAAGAAAGTGGTAACTGAGCAATTCGATGAAAATGGGAAATCGAGTAATGAAAATATTTTGTTGCTAGTTAATGACCCCAATTGGAACTCACTCAGCTGAGGGAAACCAGAACTAAAACAATAAACGGAGAAAAAGCCTAACCACTTCTAATGCGTAAAATCGTATCACATAGATTGATTACTGACAATTTACCAAAGCAGAATAAACGCTGTCAGTGGATGATCCTTCAGGGTTTGATGAGCGTTAACAGCCGCTTGATTGATGCGCTGCCCCGCCTCTAGAGTTCAGATCGAACCCTACTCAGACCATATAACAAATATCGCTATTAATTACCTCTTTTGTTGTTCACAATTTAATGCATATACTTAATATCACGCACCTTTGTGTGAACATTAAACTTTATTAATTATCTCTGCCTCGAATCTGTTTTTAATTACTGGGGGGAAAGTATGGAGATGGCTTTTTTGAGATTTTGATGCATTATCTGATTTAATAGGAGTTTGATTCGAAATCGTTACGTCAAGGAGTTGGCGCTCGAGTTCACAGGCATATCTCTTCTTTGGAAAATACATCTTTAGATAATTTCTTTGAATGTTTCGAATGAACATTGCTTTCTGGTGAAAGGTTTTTCGTTCCAATCCTCTCATGCATATGTTAACGCCTACTTTGTCCTTCACTTCTCTACAAGACGATTCATTCGAAATTTGCTTCGTTTTTCTGGAGGTGAACAGAGCGGCTCAGGAAGTGCAAAAAAAATGTAAAAGCTGCTGTTCCTTTAAACCGATTAAGGATTCTCCCATGGCAACATTACAATACCTTTTGAAGCTTTTTGCTCAAGCTGTTTCAACAAATTTGAAGCAATGGAAGATTGAGAAGAAAAAGGTATGAAAAAGAAAATTGGATGTAATAAACGGTCAAGTTGAAACATAAAAAGATAAAATTCGATCAGCGTTTGCAGGTCTTTATGGCAAAAAGTCATCACTTATTACTGGGTATCCTCTCCCGTAGAACTTTAATTAGAAAATAATCGAAGCAACAAATATCGGTCCATATCGCTGGCGTCAGCCTCTGGTAATCGCTTGTAATGTGGTGTTAAAACACCAGCTATTGTAGTGAGGTGGGGTTGTGGAGGTTAAACACGGTCATTAATAACCCTGGTTAACTAATCTGTCCAACGGAATCATCTATCTTTACAATTTACTCGGGCGGCCAACCTTAACCGGTCTCCTTTTTTTATTTAAAAGGGCTGGATTGCAATAATGAATTTATGAAAATCTTCGCAGTGACGGTTCTAAATTTGCAAACTTTTCTAGAAACCAATCTAGAATTTTCAAAGTAATAGACAAGAAAGTTTTATGTGAGGTACTTAAGAAGACTTACTCTTGACTGTAGGTAATTGAATTGCAAAAATAGATCAGAACATAGATCCATGGACTACTGGAAATGGGGAAATGTATTGCTTAAAATTGAGATGCTTTGCAAATTTGTAATATTTGTGATTTGAATGTTCATGTTTCAAAGTTTGAAAATTAAAAAAGATTATTAACCTTTTTCCATAACTCGATCTTAAAAATGCCTTTCAAATGGAGGATAATATATATCATATTTTAATAAAAACAATAACACCATATTTTAATAAAAAAACAAGTATACAAAGTGGAGCCTCTATCTTATCTGAACATAATTGAATCATTGATCAGCAAAAATTGAAATTTAGTTTGATAGATTTAAAGATTATCACACTAGATTTTGTATCGTTTCTACGCGTTCGATGATAAACTTATTAAAAAATGATACTCAATTAGTCAATCATAGATTAAATCCGGGTTTGTTTCCAATTGTAATAACTATGACATCGGCTAAGTTTGGCATTTTTGTTGATTATTTAAATATGTTGCCAAGTTTTTGCTTTCGAGTTTTAGTTACCATTAAGCGCCTTTAAATTTGAAATGTTTTGTTGTATTTTTCTTATGTTTATTCGAAAATTAAGCCTGAATGCTGGTAATATATATTGATTGCTAGGTGTCTCTCCATACTGTCCTCGCTCTTCCAACCATAACTGTAAATTCAATTTTGTAATTCATTCGATTAATGTGTCCTTCTGCTCTTCCTGTCCTTACTACTCCATAACTCTTCATCGGTATCGAATTGAGCAATTTTTTCTCGATATTTTCTCAAAGAGCTGTACCAGCTATGGAACGTATTATTTTCGTTTATGTTTGCTTTTGGTGTAGTCCATTCTTGTTTTTTTTTTAATTTTCAAAACTCTGTGTAACTCGTAAATTCCATTAATTACATAGCGTTTATTTAACGTTGTATTGTAGGTTTTAAATTATAAATAGCCTCCTTCGAAAAGTTATCATTAAACATAACTTGCACTAAAATAGGTTAATGCATAGGATAATAAAAATTTATAGTTTCATGATAAATTGACAATTAAAATTACACGTGAATACAAACAATAAAACTTGATGAATAATTCATGCACTTGCCGGGACTGATAATGATATAGGAGTTTATTATTTCCATAAAAAAGGCAAATTTCCAAGGATGTGTTTCGCTGGTATAATTGTTTTAAATATAACGCGCTTAATAGTTCGTGTAATACGGTCATTTTTTCGTTTTGATTGATAAGCTCTATCTATTAATGTGTTATGCGGGCGGAACGGAATTATTACGTTCTGATGGTGTGTTTATTTTATGGAGCATTTACCTGTCTAGTCTTTTTTATTAGAACGTATCGTAAAAATATAAATTTAATAAAAATCATTTCAGCTTCAATATCTTTCCCCCTTTTCTATAATGTGATATAGGTAACATATTCCTGATTCTCTTATATTTACTCAATCTTCCATTTTATTCATTTTATCTTTTATTTTGTCTATTTGTGCTCTGTCTAACAGCGTTGATTATGTATGGTTCTAGTTTTTCCCATTTTGATCATACGTCTTGCTTGTGTTAATTCAACCACGTCAACTTCGGTTTAAGATCTTAATAAAAAAAAATTCTATTATTAAAAATTATACCAATATAATTTCACACCGATCCAAAAGTTGATATTAGCGAATTTATACAAATTAACTTAGTAGCTCACAATAATGTATACCTACTATTGGCAGGTTGTTTGAAAAACAATAATGGCAATAAATCATGCCTTGCAGTTACGCTCAAGTCGACTTTAATGCAGACAAACTATAATAATATAACAATACCATCAAGATTGCTTGTTAATATTACAAATGATAGCAATTACATTTTCTTCCTTATGGAAACAGTGCAGTCTATCCAATACCTTTAGGGTATCCGATAAAAATTCCGAAATTAATTATATTGCTTTGAGTTTGAAATAGTTTCGGGACACGCCTTTTGAAATGGTGCAGACATTAATATCAAGCTAATCGTTTATGTCTAGGGATATAATTTTAAATCATTAGTAGTCAAATGGGAATTGGCGTAGGCAAAAACGCAATGCACATACGCAATTATACTAAACAATTTACAGTCTAAATGCATTTACTTAATTCAGTGAAATCGATAATTGATGGTAAGGGCTAATTTTGTTGTAACGAGAATTAGTTTAATGTTCATTTAGTGCGACTATATATTTTAGGAGCCTAAAAACACGTCCTTATAATAGTACGTATTTTCTTCTTAATAGTGGAAACATTGGCTGAATTATTTCATCGCTTTTTCCTATTTCGAATTTCCCAGAGTTAAATATGACGCTGCTTAGAAAATCTACTTTGCTCCTGAATCTTCTGCTTATCCTACGAAATGTATGTTGCATTCTCGATTTGATTGTGCCATCGTTGCATGTCTATTTAGGATTCACCAAAAATGAAATGTTCAATACTCGATGTCTAATCGCCCTTTACATGCACATTGCAACTTCTAATTCCCGTATCCAACAGGAAGATAAACTTGAACTTTCATACCAAATTCATAACTCTATCAACATGAATCTACATATCTTAAGCGAAGATTCAAGATAAGTTGTGGCTCGAATACGGATTCTTTGGCTGCGTATTTGTCAATACGACGAAATTTATTGCACAATTAACAATAAACTAGGAGCTTTCAAGAAGCAAAGTCGTCTTTGTAATAATGACAAATGATTTAATAAGCAATGCTGATTGGACAGGTGCCTAATGAATGCGCGAAATACGTTCGGGTACAACGAAAGACTTGTGGGAATGGATGGAAATATTAAAATGCTGGAACTAACCAGTAACTTTATATGTGGTTTTGCAAAGCTTTACAATTATTTGTAACTTCTTGCAATTTTGTGCATTACTAGTTACGATACAGGGTGGACACAATATTCGATATACTTGGTAAATGCACACAAGTAAAAACTCAAAAACATGTTTTTAATTTATATGCACACAAAATGTTAAGATATCCACATTGGTAGTTATGGGATGAACAAAAAGTTCATAATGTTTGCATCATTGATTTTATACTAATATTTTATTTTTGTCCGGTTTTTAACGGGCTCGACTTGCAAACGCCATTAAATAACTACGGTAGATTTGATCCTTATTTAAGTTAGTTTTATTTAGCTGATAAAGACAAACCTATATTATAATTAATGCACTAACATTTATTAAGGCTGGTATGGGTTGAAACTTTTCTATCTTCTAAAAAGGGCCGAGGTGTCCACCTTTTATTCAGGCATTTGTCGTAATGTGGGTGCAGAAAAGATGGAAACATCGGTCATTTGTACAATGTAACAGATGGATCAATCGAAAACCCGCTCTGAAAACATTCAATATTTTACCATTTTCAGTGCTACTTTATGTTCACCCAAGTCAACATTATTTTTGTCATTATGACGGTATTTCACTTTATTTTCGAGTATAGTTTCTTCTATTTTCACTGCCATGTACATTTTTTTAACTGATGCTTTTTTTACTGCAGATTTTATTGGTACAAAATGCAATAACTGTTGTCTTTTATTTCAGCTCTATGAGCTATCCACTGATCCCCAGAGGAAGATTATGTTGGATGATCTATTCCTGTTCATGCATAGACGAGGTAAATAATAGCTTAATATATTTTCTGAAACATTGAGGTATCATAGTAGAAAACACAAAATGCATTTTTGATCAAAATTATTTTTGGAAGATGTACCAATTTCTCAAATGTGTCATAAAACATCGGAAATACTTGCGAAATTCTAACTATTTTAACAAAATATTCATTTTGGCATTTGTTTGTGCCAGGTACCTACATGTTTCAAGCTGCTTGCATGCTTTTGTTGTTTGGATAAACGTTATAATTAGGAATAAATGAAGTTTGATTAAAGCAAATAAAGAAATAATTAAATAGTTACGGCAACTGAATGCAAACGGGGCTTTAAAGATCTATTAAATTGAGCCTTCTTTATTGGTACCGAAACACCACAGAATACATTCAATTCTTGTATAATAAATACTTGGTATCTGCAAACAAACACTTTTCTTTGTTAAAATCACTGAAAATTTTCAATTTTATAACATTTAGGAAAAAAGCAACGAAAAACCTAAACTGAATTAACAGCAAATGTTTTAAAGCACTTTGATACACCGCCATTTTCCAAACACAATTGTAGACTGCAAAAATGATCGCTTCTGAATCAAACTGCGAAGGTGCTCCAATCTATTCGAACCACACATCAATATATCGTCTGGCAGGAACATTCCTCCCTTGAAGTAATTGGAGATGTTTTATTGCAGTCCTTCTTAAAAAAAACGGGACTACTAAGTTATTGTCCAAGATTCTAAAAATACGGTTGCATTCGAAAATATAAAGACTTCAGGGCCAGCAACAGGTGGTAAAAAATCTATCACTATCACAGTTATGACCATTATTCCAAAGATATGCCGGACCGTGTCTAATACATACGTCCATTATTCGGACCGAAGTATGTTCATCAAAGTGAGATATATGTCAATATTATCCGGAAATAAATGGTGACACTTCTAAATTATTGTCGGATATTCTAAGGGCAACCATTAATAGCGAATTCCGTAATCGGAGTGAAAAAGGATGAGATTTCATTACCTGCTGCATCTCAAAAGGCCAAACAATAGTCTCCAGTCGTTTTGCGAGCGGTCTTTGATATCTTTGACCTTTTTGATTCCGTTTTGTATTATGTGGTATATTCCTTCCTGGTATTATAAAGTATGTTATACAGAAGGGGCTTTTCCATTAGGTCATACAGAAGCCGACTAATGATGAAAATGTACCTATACTTAATCTAAAACTAAAACCCTTGCACGTCATCAACTGACCCTGTTGCCAAGTTGTCATGAAAATGTTTTGTTTTTGATAAGTTGACGTTTTTTTGCAGGTGATTTTAAGACCGCATTATTGGAAACTGCTGTTGATATTGTACTCACAGTCGAAATGCTCAGATTCAGTTGACGTTTGACTTATCGAATAGTGATTGGTTTGGTTTGGTTAGTTTGTCAGAATAAATGCTGAATATTTCACTCTCACAAAAGATTTTCATGACAACTTGTCAACAGGGTCAATTTGCCGGTTGATGACGTGCAACGGTTTTAGTTTTAGATTAGAAGTATAATAATATATTTTTGCCTTCTGTTTTCAAACGGACATTTTCCTTCATTTTTCTGGATGTGTAAACTCATTGATCGATTAATCATATTTTTCATTATAGATGTCTTGTTTTCTGGTGCTCTAAAGTGTGTGATACAGTCATACACTGCGTTCTTTTCTGTTCCGCTCTCATTTGTTCTACTCCTGCATTTTTGTTCCTGAATATTTAATGAATTCCCGAAGAATTTTCGAGAGGGTGAGGAAGTAGTCTTTGTCTTCCTGTTGCATATGCCATGCAGGAGCACGTTAATTATATCAAAGGTTTTTCATGCTCTAATTTGCAACCTCTATATGATCGGACAATCCCATCTAGAAAGGTTTTTTTTGCTTCATATTTAAAAAAATAGAAGTCCCAGTTGATGGTATTGAGATTTTAAAAGTTGACCTTCGGCGGAAAGCTGCTGTTGGGTTCTGACACTGATTACGTTATTTAGTTTGTTAAAACAAGATCCAGTTAGGGCATATGCATTTGAAGAAAAGCTTCAGGCTCAAGGAAAGGTAGATTTTCAGACAAGACGATTTGTATGGAATTTCTTGACAATTCGCTCAATTTCAATTGACATTCTAACATTCCTGACTATTCTAACATTGCGATATTCTCAGAAAACGACCAGAACTATTGACTGGCCTGACCAATTCTCCAGTCTTTAAAAATTTCATAAAATTCGCCCTCATTATTTGTATCTACATCATAAAAAAATTAAAATAAATGTTTCAAACTTATAGTAACAAGTACCTTTTAATTAGAACTCAAATCGGGCGATTTTATTGGCACATCTAATAGATCAAAGTAGCCACCTTGTTTGATTTTATTTTATCCCTACATTCGTTTTGAAAATTTTAGTCCAAACAAAGTTAAGTTTAAAACATTTTATTTCGTAACAGTTCAGCCGTTTTGTTAAAATTAGGTCCCCCAAGTCTGTGTCCAATGTCCTTTCGAGCTTTCCAATCCGGAATATTCAGTTTCACCCTCGCAATGCGTATTTGGATATCCAAGACGTGTGTCACCGTTTGTTTCTTTTGATTGTCGTATTAGTGTGGCTCTGCCGACATACGGAATCCAAAATACGCACAAAATTGTTTACCAGAAAAACCTGAGACTCATTCCAGACGACATGTTTCAACGTTGTCGCGTGCCTCGCCACATTTTACAAAAGGTGTTCAGATCTTGATAAGTTTATTTAATACGAAGCTGATTCTTAACCCAAGTTGCTAAACCTACTTCAAAAAGAACGCAGCGCCTGAATAATTTGTTTATGGATTTTGCTCATTTCTTATTCCCACTATTTGGCACCCCATTTGCTCAATTCCTGTTATATAAATAAATATGTTAATTCAAATGATCGCCGTGTTAATACACATCATTTAAATCACGCATTCCATCTCGGATCTGTAGCAATTTCGAAAATTGCCAGGTAATAAACCATTTAAATTCGAATAAATCATTCCGGACGTGGAACGATTGCGGATAAACATGAGTTGCGGTAGCAAAAGCAGGTATCTTGCCACAAAATTACACCATCATCATCTTCAGTCTCAAAATTTGGATACCAAAAAGGCCTTTCATTAAGTTCTTATTGAATTAGGTATAATGGGTTCTGCTACTGTTTCGGAAAAAGTTAACCGTGCGTTAGGGTGACTCGACACAAAACGATGTGACTCAGCTCGATAATATGAGCTTTCCTATAAAATGAGACTGATAATATGGCAGTTAGTTGATTTAATATGACGTGATGTGGAGCTTGGGATCTATCTAAGTTGAGAGACATCTTATTTTTGCATACATTTCTCAAGATTAGGTTAAAGGACCAGTTCGACGCGAAAACGCTAATAAATATGCAAGGTTTAACCTTATAAGGTTACATCTGATCAAGAAGAAAAAGCCAGATTATGTAAAATGTTTTTTTCTTATTTCTGCTTGCATTATAGTCTATTATAGAACTTTCAAAGAGTCATCAAATATTTGCAAATATGCAAAATATATAATAATTATTATACAACAACGAACCCTGATTTAAAATGACAATTTGATTCTTAATCAATGATCAATAACTAAATTTATAGTGTAGGACAGATGTAATTCAGTAACATCCAAGATTTCACATTTTCTTCATTAACCACGTTCCCATTTTTTGCATTTTCTTAAATGAGAATTTACAATTTTAAGTTGATGAAGGCTCGGTTTCACCACCTACGACTAAACAGTTAAAATTGTGATTAAATTTTTAATTTCATTATAACCATTGAAATTCACCACACAAGCATCACCTTCTAAGAGGTTATTTTGATTCCGTTTGATAATGAAGATTAAATTAAGGTTACCGAACGACCAGAAATATATTAGGGGTGATTACCCACTTTGAAAACCTTAAGCGACGAATCCATAACTTGATTTCGCATGTAAAAAATGTCCAAACATTACTACTGGAAATACAAACACATCTGCAGAGTCTCGCAGAAGCACAGAAGATTAATGTGAGAAAATTTGTCGCAAATGTTCTAGAAACGGACCATTAAAATGCCTTTTACAGAAGTTGAAATAAAAGCTACCCCGTTTTCCAAAACCATCGATTCCAAGAGTAATTTCCTTGTTGTATTGTTTTATAATCGGAGAAAATGTTTTTTCTGCATTGTTCAAACTACACGAGTTAGTTCCTTAAAAGTTTCCAGCATTATCACATGATGGTCAACAATTTTTAGAAGTTCTAAATTGATTGTGTGCTAGATGGGAATCAGCTCAATTTATAAATGTAGTCATGTTAGCTTGTATATATTGCAAAGCACTAATATTCACTAGTATTTTTGTTTAAATATCGAGTCGATATATTAGTGTTAGAATCAGAAGAATCCATCAGAAGCATGAATTTTTTTCCGGTGAGGTTTTGAGCCGAATTTACTGACGGTTAGTTTCTCTGAATTGAAATAGTTATGGTAAAACGCCAAAGCAACTTAAAAATGACACTAAATGGCTGATTACATAATTATTGCGATGAGGTAATCTGAGATTTAATGAGAGCCGGTAGAACCTAGCATGTCTATTTTAATCGTAGAATATTGACTTTAAAATTAAGTTTCAACTTTTAAGCTTTAAATTCCTCGGATCCTTAAATTTTCGGACTTACATCAACTCAGTACAGTTCTGTCTTTGAATTCCGACTCTCATCTCGATATTTTGAGTCTAAACACATAATAGCCTTGAAAATGAAAGAAAATTGGATTGTAGGACAAAACATTGAAATATCCACTTCGACAGAAACGATGTGTATTCTGAGGCAAATATACTAATTTTGAACTAGAATTTTCGACTTTGAGGACAAAGTTAAAACTTTCAAAGTTTAATTTGGAACAAGAACGTTACAATTCCCGAAGTTCAAAGCCTGAACATGCCTCCTGAGAGAAAATACAATTAATAACTCATCAAAAAGTAATAAAGTTGATTTTGATATGTAGAATATTAATTATATTATTAAATGAAGAGTCCGTCAAATAAATCCTTGACCCCGCATCATTTAGTATAATTAAAGTGGCCACAATACAATGTACAAAACGTCACAATTTCCCACACTACAAGCCACTCAACGCGCACAACAATAAACCTATAATCGTAACAAATACAATAAAGACAAATAAAAAAAGGAGTATTTACTGGAAGAACGTGCTCGAGGCGTAGGTGCTCACTTATGTACGTTCCCCAACAATTATTACATCTGTATAACATTGTTGTATATTATGTGATTTGAGCTTAAGTTATATTGCCGCTGAGTTGATGGAACTCGTCTTGGTCGTTTTTCTATTGGTCGCCGGACTTGTGCTGCTTTTGCAATTCAAATTCGCAATGGGGAGTACTGTAAATTCCGGTTTGAATTGCGCGAATATGGGTTTTAGTATCGATCTAAAAGTTCGTACATTTGTTAAAATTTGGAGCTTGATTATCTGGAAACTGACAATTTGTACTCAAAACTCAGTCGATTGGAACCTTCATATGTGCTTGGGAAAGCAATACAAATATTTGTAAACTCTCATCTGTGAAGGATTATTTCTTGTTCGTCAATTTGCCAACCAATCGTGCTCAATTACCCAGACGTACAGCTTCTGCAAAGCAATTCGTAGCTTTGCATTATTTGCAATATTCAATTACAACCTGTAGACATCGAAGGCCGTGGAAGAAAGGGATTCTGAATGCACCATTGCAGTTTCAATCGTCAATTATACAGTAGTTGTTAGTTGCATTTGCATATAATGCCACACACAGACTTAAGATGAGCTTAGATGCAAACCTTTGAAATATTGAGATATATTAGGTATTTTATTTTATATTGATTAGTTTGGAACTACAAACTGAACTGGATCAGTTTCCAAGATTTAAATTTCCTTTTATCTTCCGGGTTTATGCAGTATTCGCTCAAGATCTCTTGAGATGAATTTAACGAACAAATAAAAAAGGAAGCATTAATTGGTCGCAGCTCGATAAGAAAGTATAAAAATGTATTAAGTCTAATTGTGCACAGGTGCTCAGACTTTACCTTGGTCATAAGGCAGCAAGCCGTGGCGAAGTGTTGACTTAGCTTTTATTTACAGTCTGTCACACATTTAGACGACGGCCACTCAGATCGTCGATATTGCAACCACCGGAGTATGTACCAACGTATCGTAAAAGCTCACGGTT